TTCCTTCTCCTCCTCCTCCTCCCCCCCCCAAAAAAAAAAATCTTTATCTTAAATATCTATCTTTATCTTGTCTGCTTTCTCTTCTCTTCTCCACCTCCTCCTCCTTTTCCAAAAAAAAAAAAAAAAAAAAAAATCCGGCTCTCATTACCATATCAAAACATCTCACAGCCAAAGTCCAATCACCTCGCGAGGCATAATTAACGATTAATCACCTTCCTAATCACTCCAGTCCGCCTCCTTATCTCTCCCGGTTCTTCCCTCCGCAGCTGGGGACCATGGAGCACATCCAGAGTAAACTTCTGACGGAGTACGGCGAGCTGAGGGCTTCTGTGGGCGAGGTCGGGAGGAACACGCTGGAACTCAGTAAAACTGCCTGGTCTTCTGGTTCAGGATTTTAGGAGGACGATTGAAGATAGGTCTATGTTTTTTTTTTTTTTTTTTTTTTTTTTTTTTTTTTTACTGGTGTAGAGGGGTATGAGGAAATTATGTATACAGGATGTTGCCTTATTTTTGGCATATGGGTCTATTTTTTTTACTGTAGAGGCATATGAGTAATTCATATACAGGATACAATATTATTTTTTAAGAATATGTCTATGTCGGTCTGTTTTTTTTTTTTTTTTTTTTTTTTTGTAGAGGTGTATGAGGAATGATATATAGGATGTTACGTTATTTCTAAAACATAGGTCTTTGTGGTCTGTTTTTTTCTTCTTTTACTGTAGACGTGTATGAGGGAATAATATACAGGATAGGATATTCTGGAGGTCTAGACCAGATGTAATTCTGCTAAGTGGGATATACTGTGTTGTGTTATGTGCACACGCATTGGATCTATACTTTGATATATACATTCATGCATATAGACAAACACACAAACAAACAAAAATACACACACACACACATAAACACACACACACATAAACAAACACACACACAAACAAACACACGCATACAAACACAAACGCACACACACACACACACACACACACACACACACACACACATACACACAAACATACACACCCACACACACACACACACACACACTTACACACTACATACCCCAACATCATATGCCTGCAATTATACCCGCACTTCCCATGAATACTCAATGACTCTTAAACGATAATACACTTTATCACAAAATAAACCCAGTTATCATCTCAATCTTAATATAATTCTCCCGAAGTTGCAATTACTCCATGAATAGTCGTCGTTGTTGCACCCACAGGCAGGCAAGTTGCAGGTCTCGACAGCCGAGTGGCAGCGCTTGACAGGACACTCAGCCGTCGGCGCGGAGGGGACGACCTTGTGTAAGTACCCGCATCTTGACCTCTTCTTACTGCCCCGTGACCTTTCACCTGACCCTTCCTATCTCTTGAAGACTTTTCGATGACAAACCAAAAGTTCACGTGCTTGACTTTTTAATTTTTCGGAGGATGATGCTAAATTTGCTGTCTCATATTCGATGATGTGAAGTGATGATGAAAATGATGTTTGAGAATTGAGAATACGAGAGGAAAGAAGAAAGAAGAGAGAGAGAGAGAGGGAGAGAGAGAGAGAGAGAGAGAGAGAGAGAAAGAGAGAGAGGAGAGAGAGAGAGAGAAGAGAGAGAGAGGAGAGAGAGAGGAGAAGAAGAAGAGAAAGAGAGAGAGATGGACAAAAGCAAAAAAGAAGTGAAAGAGAGAGAGTAAGAATAGACTAGAACAGGTAAGAGAGAAGAGAGAGGGAGAGGGAGTGTGTGTGTATTTGTGTGTCTGAGAGGACGAGAGAAGAGGGAGACAGGCAGAGAGAGAGAAGATAGAGTGAGAGAGCGAGAAAAGGATTCCTCGAAAGTAGTTTTAAAAGTGCCAGTCATTCAGTCAATTAAGTGCTGGCCCGATTCTTGACACCCTTCATCTCACCCCTGCCCCTCCCCACCTCCCTGCCTCCCCATCCCTCACAGCCCATAACTCCCTCCCCCCCCCCTTTCCATGCCCTTACCCTCTCCCCCCATCCCAACCCATGTCCTCTCCCTCCCCCTCCAGCCCCCCATAACCCCCCTCCTCCCCTCCCAGCCCATACCCCCCTCCTCCCTCCCACCCATACCCCCCCCCTCCCACCATACCCTCCCCCTCCCAGCCATACCCCCCTACCTCCCCTCCCAGCCCCATACCCCCTCCTCCCCTACCCAGCCCATACCCCCCCTCCCCCCCCCACCTCTGCACCGGGGGCGTCATATTTCAGAAACTTTATAATGAGATTGCTGATTAGGGAGAGATATCTCACTCTACTATTCTCTCTCCTTTTTCTTCTTTCTGCCCCCTCCTTTTTTCTTCCTCTTTTGTCTGATTTTTCTGATTATCAGTCTGTTCCTCTGATTTTTTCCTTCTTTCTCTCTAATCCTATTCTCCTCCTGCTATCTTCTATTATAACTATATATTATATATATTATAATATATTATATATATTATATATAAATTATATTATATAATATATTATATATAATATACTATATATATATATATATATATATATATATATATAATATATATAATTATAATATATATATATATATTATATATATAATATATATATATATATAGTATATATATATATATATATATATATATATATATATATATATATATATATATATATATATATATACCGTCTTGTCGTTTCTACTACTTATCTCTTTCTCTTATTTTGGACATTTATCTTTGTCTTACATCTTATCCTTCTTTCTTTTATTCTTTTCTCTCTTTGCAACACTCTCTCCTCTCTCTCCCCCTCCTCCTTTCTCCTCTCTTATTCCCATTCCATTTACCTATCTTATTTTTCCCTCTCTATCACTCATACATTTTACTCTCCCCTCTCCTCTTCTCTCTATCTCCCCCTCTCTCTCTCCCTTTCTTAACCTTTCTCTTTTTCTCTTTTCTTTTTTTCTTTTCCTCTGCTTTCTCCTGTTCTTTCTTTCTCTCTTTATTCCTCTTTCTCCCTTCCTCCCCCTTTCTTCTTATTTCCCCCATTCTCCCTCTTATTTTCTTCTCCTCTCCCTTTCCCTGCTTCTTCGCTCTCATTTTATCTTTTCCTGCTTCTTCTCTCTCTCTTTCTTCCTCTTTCTCTTTTTTTCTCTCTCTCTCCTCTCCTTTCTCTCTCTCACTTCCTCTCCCTATTCCCTCTATCTCTCTTTCGCCTCATTTTCTCTATTTCCTCTCTTTCCCATCTCCTCCCTTCTATCTCGCCATCTTCCCTCTCTTTCTCTCATTCCTACTTTACACCTATCTCTCTCCCTTCCCCTTCCCTGCTCCCTCTTTCTCTCCTTCTCCCCCCTCCTTCTTTTTCCCTTTCTTCATTCTGCTTTTCTCTCCCTTCTCCTTAACTCTTTCTATCTCTCTCTTTCCCTTCTTTACTCCCTCTATCTCTCTCCCTTCCCCTTCCCTGCTCCCTCTTTCACTCTATCTCCCATTCTCCCCCTCCCCCCCCTTCCTCCTCTCCCATCCTCCCCTCCCCACCCCTCTTCCTCTATCTTCCCCTCCCACCCCATCCTTCTCTCTCCCCTCCTCCTTCCCCCATTCCCTTCTCTCCCCTCCTTCCCTTTCTACCTCTTCCCCTTCTCTCCCATCCTCCCCTCCCACCTCCCATCCTTCTCTCCTCCTCCCCCCCTCCCCCTTCCTCCTTCCTCCTCTCCCCCCTCCCTTCTCTCTCCCTCCTCCCCCTCCCCTTCCTCCCCCTTCCCCCTCCTTCCTCCCTCCTCCCCATCCTTCCCCCCCTCCCTCTCTCCTCCCCTCCTCCCCCCCCCCTCCCCCTTTCTCTCCCCTCCTCCCCCTCCCCCCTTCTCCCTCCTCTTCTCCCCTTTTCAGAAAAATGGCGACGCATTGAGCCCGACGGCGGCGCCACCTCGTCCTCCGCTTCGTATTAAATCTCTCACGCAAGAGGATTTAATGCTCTTTTAAATCGTGACTAATTACCCCGAGGGGATTATAAAGTGCCGGATCCTTCTTCTTCTCTCCTCTCTCTCTTATCGTTTCTTCTTTTGTCTTTTATATTCGTAACTGTTATATATATATATATATATATATATATATATATATATATATATATATATATATATATATAATATATATATAATATATATATATATATATATATATATATATATATATATATATATATATATATATATATATAATATATATACATATATAATTTCTTGATGTTATTAACTCTATTGTCATTTTTCTCTTGCTTTTTCAGTCGTTTGTCTTCTTTTCATTTTTATCCTTTCTTTTCCTCCTCCAACTTTTTTTTTTTCTTCTTCTCCTCTCCTCCTTCCTCCTCCTCTTCCTTTCTCCCCCTTCTTCTCCACATCTTCTTCAACTTCCTACTCCTCCTTTTCCTTCCTCTCTTCTTCTCCCCCCTTCTCCTCCTCTCTTCCTCTCTCTCCATCTCCTTGCTCTTCCTCTCCTCCTTGGTTTTTCCCTACTCTTATCCTCTGTCTGTTCCTCCCTCTTCATCTCGTCATTCTCCTATTACTCCCCTCTCTTCCTCCCTTCTCTTCGTCCTCCTTCTTCTCCTTCTTTTCCCGGTTGATATTTGATTAATTTGTTCCTCAGAGAGAGAGAGAGAAAGAGAGAGAGAGAGAGAGAGAGAGAGAGAGAGAGAGAGAGAGAGAGAGAGAGAGAGAGAGAGAGAGAGAGAGAGAGAGAGAGAGAGAGAGAGAGAGAGAGAAAGCAAATTCTCAAACACGTAATTGAATATATTCTTTTCCCTTTTTTTCTTCTTTTTAGGCAATTTTCCGGCAAAATACTTTTGTCATTTACCTTTCTCCTTTTTACTTTTCTCATCCAAATTTTATTTTCTTTCTTCATTTTTCTTTTATCATCCCATCCCCCCCTTTTCGTTTCTTGTCATAGATACATTTGCCTTAATGTATGTATGCGTATATCACTCTCTTGCCCCCAATCATCCTTTTTACTTCCTTCATTCTTTCATTTTTCGACCCCAACTATCCTCTTTCCTCTCTCCTTTCCCCTACCATTATCTCCCCTACTCTTATTCCTCATCACTAGAATCTCCCCCTCCCCTCTTTTCCGCTCTCCTCCTGTATCCTCTCCCCTCTCCCCTTTCTCTCTCCTCTTCTCTTGTATCCCCTCCCCTCTCCTCGTGTATCTCTCCCTCTCCTTACCCCCTCCCTCTCCTTCTCTCCCTTCCCCTCTCCCTCTCTTCCCCTCCTTCTGCATCCCTCCCTCTTTCCCTCTCTCCCCTCTCCTCCTGCACCCCTTCCCCTCTTCCCAACTCCTTTTTGACACCCAGCGAACACCAGCTCCTGCCATCTGTCTGGAGACGCAGCCATCTGTCGCTCATCTCTTTAAGACCCTTCCCCTCACCTGACCCCTACCCCTGCCCCTGTCCCCTCTTAACCCCGTGGAACTAATGAGACCCCATGAGGCATAACGATTAACCTCTCAACGAGCTGACTCTCCCCTCTCCCCTTCTCTCCTTCTCTACTTCACTCTCCTCTCGAGTCTTTCCTCCTTTTCGTTCTCTTCTCCCCTCTCCCTTTCTTTCCTTCACTTTCCTCTTTTTTATTTCCCTTCTCCCCTCTCTCCCTTTTCTCCTTCTCTCCTTCACTCTCCTCTCGCGTCTTCCTTATTTTTCCTTTCTCTTTTTGCTTCTCCTTCACTTTTCTCTTTTTTATTTCTCTTCTCCCCTCTCCCTTCTATCATTCTCTCCTTCACTTTCCTCTCGAGTCTTTCCAATTTTTTCTTTCTCTCTTCCCTCTTCTTCTCTCTCTCCTTCACTTTCCTCTCGAGTTTTCTTTTTTCTTTCCCTTCTCCCCTCTCCCTCTTTTCTCCTCTTTTTATTTCTCTTCTCCTCTCTCCTTTCCTTCTCTTCACTTCCTTCGAGTCTTTTCTCTTTTTATTTCTCTTTTCCTCTACTTCACTTTCCTCTCGGTTTCCCTCTTTTTTTCGTCTCTTCTTCCTCTCTCCGTCTCCTTTTCTTCACTCTCCTCTCACGTCTTCCCTCTTTTTCTCTTCCTTTCCCTCGTTTAGTTCCATTTCCTTACCCTTCTCTCTCCCTTCAACGGGTTCTTTATGTGTGTTCTTCTTCTTCCTTTTCTTTCCATGTGCCCCTCTTTCTTCCCTCTATCCTTGCATCTTATCTTTGTTTTTGTGTCCCCTCCCTTCTCCCCTCTCTCTCTATTTATGTGCTCTTCTCTCTTCCTTTAGTTTCTTGTTATCGTTCCTCTCCTCTCTCTCTTCTCCTCTTTCCCCTCCTCCTTTTCTCTCCACGTGTCTTTTTCCTTTTCCCTTCTTTCTTTATGTTCCTCTCCGTCTCCTTTATCTCCTGTTGTGCGTCCTCCCTCTACCTGTCCCCTCTCGTGTATTCCTACTTCTACCCTTTTTCTCGTGTTCCTCATCCTCTCCACTGTCTCCTTACTCTCGTCCTTTTCCTATTCCTCGTTCTCCTTTTCCCCTCATTCTCTTCGCGTGTCTGCTCCCTCTCACCTCATACTTCCCCTTCCTCTTACCTCTCTTCGTGTTCCCCCTCCTCTTCCCTCTCTTTTTTTTCTCCTCTTCCCTCTTTCCTATCATCTTGCTTTGCTCCATCTACTCCTTTCTCCCTTCTCTCTTTCCTCGTCTTTCCTCCTTCCTCTCTCCTTTTCACTCCCCCTTTCCTCTGCTCTCCCCTGGCTTCCCTCTCTCTCCTTTTCTCTTCACCTTTCCCCTCCCTCTCCTCTCTCTCTTTGTCTTTCCTCCTCTCCTCTCTTCTTTCCTCCTCTCCTTCTCTCCTCTTCCTCCTCTCTTCTTCCTCTTCCTCCCTCCTCTCTCTTTCTTCTCTTCCTCTTCTCCTCTTTCTCTTCCTTTCCTTTCCTTTCTTTCTCCTTGCTTTGCCCTCGCCTGCTCTTCATCATGCAAGGTCAGAAGCTGAAAGATTTTTTCTTTATTTATTTTTCCTTCTTTGTATTAGCGTTTTTTCGCTTTCTTTTATTTGATTAACCTCGTTTGTTTTTCCTTCCTCCTTTTTCTATGCATTTTTATTCATACTCTCTTTCCCTTCTATTTCCTCTTCATGTGTTGTAATTTTTTTTGTTTTCCTTTGTTCAGTCTTCTTTATGGTTTTCGCTTTCTTTTTCTTTTCTGCTTATTTTTCAGCTTTTTATGTTCCTTTTTCTTTTGCTTTTGTTTTTCATTTTCTATTCATCATAGTCTCATGCATGCTCTTCATCTTTCTCTTCTCTTTCTTTCCTCAACGCCTTCTCCTACTCCTCTGCATCATCCTACTCCCCCTTCTCCTCCTTTTGTTGTCCATCTTTCCCTTCCTTCTGCTCAGCTTCTTCTTCTTCTTCCTCCTCCTCCTCATCATCAGTATCATCACGAGCGCCGTCATCATCTTCATCATTATCATTCATTATTTCATCATCATCTTTTTCTTCTATTTCATTCTCTTTTCCCTCCAACGCCTTCTCCTCGTCCTTCTCACTCTTCTTCTGTTTCTCCTTTACCCTATCCTTCTCTTCCTCCTAATCCTCCTCAACATCACCATCACCATCTTCTTTATAATTATTATTATTATTATGATTGTCATTATCATCAGCATTATCATTATAATCATCATTATCATCATATTCTTATTTCTCATCATAATCGTATCACCATCAATTTCTTCTTATCTTTTTATATTTATTCCTCCTCATCATCACCATCTTCATTGTCATCACCATCATCATCACCATCTTCATCGTCATCCTCATTGTCATCATCATCGTCATCACCATTACCATCAAAACAACCATCATCATCACCATCTTCATTGTCATCATCACATCACCATCTTCATCGTCATCACATCATCATATTATTTTCTTATCATATCACCACCACCGCTTCCCTCCATCTTTCTTTTCTTGACTTTTTTCTTTCCCTTTTATCTCTTTCTAAAACATTTAATCTTTTTCGAGACACTTCAGTTTCCATTGATGTTTCCAAGAGGGTCATTTTCTTTCGTTTAACTGTCTCTCTCCATTCTCTCTTTCTCTTTTCTTTATCAAATCCCTTTGTATATTATCCATATATTTCATTCGCTCTTCTTTTGTTGTTTTTGATTTATTGTTTGTCTTGTTTTTTTTTATTCTTTTCACTTATCTTTCTCTTTCTGTTATTTCTCTTTCCCTTACTTTTTTTCCTTCCTTTCGTTTTTTTTTCACTTACTTCCTTCCTCTTTCTTTTTTTTCTCTTTCTTTCTCTTTCTTCTTCTTTTTCTCTCTTTCTTTCTTCTTTTTTCTCTTCCTTCTTCTTCTTTTTCTCTCCTTCTTTCTTATTTCTGTCTTCTCCTACTTTCCCTTCCTCCTTGTTGAAACTTTTTTTTTCTATCCTGGTTATTTCTTTTCCTTCTTTCTCTATCCTTTTCCCTTCTCTCGCTTTGTAAAATTCCTCTTTTCTTCCCCTTCCTCCTCTTTCTCTTCCTTACCTTTCATTCTCCTTTCCCCGGTTTTTGCAAAAGACATACGACCTTCCTTTGCAAAAATCCTTCCTCGTTTCTTGCAAAAATCCTTCGTTTCTTTCCATTTCTCCTCTTTGCCTTTTATTCCTCTGTAAAATTCCCTCCTCTCTTCTTCCTATTCCTCTTCTTTGCCTTTCCTTCCTCCTTCCTTCTTCCTCGCGGCCGTCCTCGAGTAAAACCTTGTAAAAGCCTACCTTACAACCTTAGTCTTTGCTAATGGTAGTTAATTGTTCGCTTATCTCATCCGGTATAAAGGTTTAAGGCTGGCAATATCCTTTAAACTTCCCCACTTGATGTCTCTTGATGCCTTGCTCCCTCTTTCGGTTCTTTTTTTTTGTGTCTATGTCTGTCTGTCTGTTTGTTTTGTTTTCTGTTTGGCTGGCTGTGTGTGTTTTTTTTTTTCTCTCTCTCTTGCTTCCTTTCTTTCTCTCTTATTCTCTCTCTCTCTCTGACTTCCCTCTCCCTTCTCTCTCTAATCCCCCCCCCTCTTTCCCTCTCTCTCTTCCAAATAAGTAATTCACTCAATTTGTATACAGTTAAGACCCCAACATGAGCTATGAACATCGGGCACCCTCAACATGCTATTTAGTTTTACTAGCCTTTCATCCCCTGTGGTTCATGGCCAGAATTTCATATCAACTGCTAAGAGGATAATGATATCTAAATAAGCCTCTACATACTATCTTCATAAAGTACTATCCAAATACATCCTAGGCAGCTATCTAGAATAGAAGCAAACTATACATACTATCCTGATAAATACCAGCCAACTAGCCCAATAAGAGCCAACTATCCATACTGCCCACATAGATATTATCTATTATCTGTTCATACTATCTAAATGTATACCATCCAACTAGCCAGATACTAGCCATACTATACAAATATATGCTAGCCAACTGGCCCAATAAGAGCCAAATAAATACTAGACAAATCTTATCTAAGTGAAAACTAGCCAATTAGCCCAATCCTATCCAGCAATACTAACCAAATATAAAAGTAGCCAACTACCCATACCATTTAGACAGTTCAGAAGCACAATAGAAAGACAAGCCACAATTTGACTGATCTCACAAGACCCTGTCACAGCAAACCCTGAATCATTATCATTATTAAAATTATCATAATCCTTATACATACAATCCAGCTAACCGCCCCTCCTCCACGCCCTCAGCTCCGACCGCCTTGACAGCGACGACTACCCTCAGGCCGGAGTGAACCACGACCTCTCCGACGTCACCGAAGCTGTACGTGAGGCGGTGACTTCCATCAGCAGCAGACTCCAGGTAAGGACACCCCCCCCCCCCATTCTCTCTCTTACCTGCGTATTTTAATAATTTGGAGTCGTTCGTCTGCGCCGTCACAGGGAGACATTCCTTAGCGGCGTTTGATGTCTTCGGGGACTCTGGGGAAGGTGAACGTAATAATACGTGCGGGGTTTCAGCGAGAAGGGTTCAAGGGAGTTAGGACGGAGTGATGTCTGTGACGAAGGGAATGTGGGTATTTTATTGATAATTGGTGGTTATCTGGTGGCCTGTCGAGATGTGTGAAGGTTGAGGGGTGTCGGGTTTTTGTGTGCACTTAAAATAAGATAAATGCAGTTTGTTGGTATTTATTAATTGGTATTTATTAATAATTCGTGTTTATCTCGTGGCTTGGGTTTTGTAAATGTTGAGGGGTGTCGGATTTTGTGTGGATATAAAATAAGATAATGCAGTATGTTGGTATTTATTAATTAGTATTTATTATAATTCGTGTTTATCTCGTGGCTTGGGTTTTGTAAAGGTTGAGGGGTGTCGGATTTGTGTGGATATAAAATAAGATAAATGCAGTATGTTGGTATTTATTAATTAGTATTTATTAATAATTCGTGGTTATCTCGTGGCTTGGGTTTTGTGAAGGTTGAGGGGTACCTGACTTTGTGTGGATATATAAAAGAATGATAAATGCAATATGTTGGTATTTATTAATTGGTATTTATTAATAATTCGTGTTTATCTCGTGGCTTGTCGGGTTTTGTGAAGGTTGAGGGGCATCTGACTTTGTGTGGATATAAAAAAAAAGATAAATACATAATGTTCGTGGATATAAAAGTAGGTAGATAGACATATAAGTAAAATCATTAGATGACATGGATATATGTATAAAGATTGATATATAGATAGAACAATGACAAAGAATTCTGTATTTTCTATCTATTTTATTTTATTTTATGAGTAAAGTCAAAGATGCAAGACCCCAAAACGTAGTTCTACAACGCCCAGGCTTTATATGTTTTGTTATAACCCCCAACAAATCATGTAAGTGTCAAATGTAAACTCTAAAAAAGTTAAGAGTTAATTAAGTTGAACAGAGAATTCGTACCCATTTATTCTATTTACATACGGTACGCACAAACGTACCTCTCATATAAATCCTATAAATTCAACGCGGTGCACGAAAATTACACATGGTATATTATATCACCTAAATCTTTTCACAGATTTTTTATTTATTATTATTATTTTCATTTTTACGGTCACACGGATGTTTATTCACTAATTGGAAAAGAGTTGCTAAGTGCTCTAAGGTCACTCAGGACGTGGTACCAACTCAATTGGCCAAGGCTGAGTGTTTTATGGGGTTGGACTGAGGTCTTGGCGATGTGTGCTAGACACGATAGATATTTACAAACACATAGACACAGACAGGCAAATAACAAACGTAGATAAACACACAGACATGCACATAAACAAAAGCAGACAAACACACACGCAAGCAAACAAACAAACAAACACACACACACACACACACACACACACACACACACACACACACACACACACACACACACACACACACACACACACACACACACACACACACACACACACACACACACACACACCACAAACAAACACACACAACCGAAGCCAAACATACCGCATCGTCCCCTTCCCCTCGAGGCCCAAGTCCGCACTAACCTCGCTCGCCTCCCCCCCCTCTCCCCCAGGCCACCGAGAGGCGGTTCAAGGAGGACCTGGCGACCCTCGAGAACCGGACGACGGAGGCCCTCAAGAAGTCCCACGCCGACCTCGACCGCCGCATCGCCATCGCCGGACTCGACAGCGTCCTCATCCTCAACACGTGAGTTTTTTTTTTTTTTTTTTTGTGAATTATCTATTGACTTTTTTTCTGCTGAAGGGAGCGCGTGATTATTTTCTATGTGATTTGTTTTCCTTTTTGTTTTTGTTTTTTTCTTGTTCCTCTATTTTAGTCATTTTTCGTTTAATTCTTCCGTTCTTATTTTTCGTTACTGAAGGAAGTGCGGGAGGCATTTTCTATTCTTTTTATATACCTTTTTTCTGTTCTTGTCTGCATTTCTTTCTTGGACTTATGTTTCATTTTATATATTTATTTATTCATCATTATCATGTTATTTTAATTTCTGAAGTAGAATGAAGAGATTTTTAAATCTAAAATCTTATTTGCCGTTCTTTTTATTTTCCACTTTTTCGTGAGCTTCATCTGTTTCATTGTAGTTCATCATTAAACCATTACTGTTGTTATCGATACTATTATGATTTGGGCGAGGCAGTTTCTGATATCAAGGGTAGAGAATTCAATGAAGAGCATGTAAAAGTAACTAAGTAACAGAAAAAAAAACAGGTACCAAAAGAAATAATCTGTAATATATATATATATATATATATATATATATATATATATATATATATATATAGAGAGAGAGAGAGAGAGAGAGAGAGAGAGAGAGAGAGAGAGAGAGAGAGAGAGAGAGAGAGAGAAGAGAGAAGACAAAGAGAGACAGAGAGAGAGAGACAGATATAGATATAGATAATTTTTTTTTTTTTTGGGGGGGGGCTAATTATTTGAGTTACTTTTAAACAGATCTGTTATTTTTGAGATAATGGACTTATGTTTAAGTTAATTGGGTTATTTTCTGAGTTGACCTAATTTCTTTTGAATTATTACTATTCATCATTATCATTATTAAGTTGTCTGAGAATTTCGAGTTGTCTTAATTCTTTTTTATTTCATTTTATTATTATCGTTATTTGCAAGTTGTCTGATACATTTTTGAGTCGACTGGGTTATTTTTTGAGTTGGCGATATTAGCTTTGACTTGACAACAGATTTTTGAGTTGAATGAACATTTCTGAATGGACGAATTATCTTTGAGTTGATTTTTACCGATTTATTTTTTAACCGAGTTATTTCGTACAAAGCACTATCGTCTATGCTTTTAATTTGACAATAAACAGATTCCAGTAGATGGACACGAACTCAAGTATACATTCCTCTGTTGCACCATCGCTGGGGCAGATATCCCTGTGGCTGTTGAGGAGACTGTACAAGGATATTGCAGGATTAAGTGCAAGATATGTTTCGGAGGTTTGGCTTAAGGACCCAGTGGGACAATTCGGACATCACACACATATATATATATTATATATATATATATATATATATATATATATATATATATATATATATATATATATATATATATATAATATATATATATATATATATATTATATATATATGTGTGTGTGTGTGTGTGTGTGTGTGTGTGTGTGTGTGTGTGTGTGTGTGTGTGTTACATGTGTATTATCCTTCCTCCCCTCCTCTACCTACTTCCATTCTTCTCTCTTCCCTCCCCCTCACCTGCCTCCCCTCCCTCTCCTTCCTCCTTCATCCCCTCCTTCTCCCTATCCCGGCTACTTAGGGGAGGGAGGAAGGGAGGGGGGGGGTAAGGAAGAAGTCCCACCAACCCCCCCCCCTCCCCCCCCCAAGTAGCCGGCAAATTATTATCCAGCGCTTGAGGATCTGCCAAGAAAGATGGATCACTCGCGGGGCTCGTGGATCTTGTTGCATTGAGTTCGCTGCCAGTCCGTGTCGACTTTTTTTTCTCGCCTCCTTCATCATTTGACTTTTGTTTTTTACTGTTTTTTTTTTTCATTGTTATTATTATTTTATTATCATTTTCAATATTGTCGTTATTATTATTATTATTATTATTATTATTATTATTATTATTATTATTATTTTTATTATTATTATTGGGCATCTGAATGTCCAATATTATTCTTATTATTATTACTATTATTGTTGTTACTGTTGTTGCTCTTAAATTGATTCTGTTATTTTCTCTTTTTTTTTTTTTTTTAATTTTGACTATATCACGTAATTTTTTTTTCTGTCATTTCTGTTTTTTTTTTTTTCTCTCCATGTTACTAATTGTTATTGTTTCTTGTACTCTTTGTTACATTTTTACTTTTTGTTATTTTTGTTTCCTTTTTACTCTATGGTGCTTTTTCGTTCACTTTGTGGGTGATTCCTTTTATCTTACTTTTGATATACTCTTTCTTTACCTCTTTTCCGTGTGTGCAGATTTGCGTAAGTGCATTTCTTTCTATGTGAGTGCGTGTACCTCTGCGTGTATGCGCATTTATCTCACAATTGTATAAAAAATCTGTGCAGTTCCTGTCGGACAGAACTGCGTAACACTAATTCCTCCAATCACGTCCGACACCCAAAATAAAAACAAAAAACAAAAACAAAAAACAAAACAACAAAAAGCGATTCCGTGCCTCCCTGATATATGTGCATCGATGTTGCATGCAAGGCGCCACTCAGGAGACCTCGTCCGCGAAGAGAAACTCGGGAGTCTTGTCTTGTTGGTATTCAAGAAGCGGGAGATTAATTACCACCTGCTCCTGCCACATTAAAGTTCAGATCGCCGCCCAGATTGGGCTGATCGGCGCTCGCTGGGCGCTGGAGTCTGGCTTCACACGCACACGCGAGTGTGTGTGGAGATGGGAAATGGATATGTTTATGTATATATATATTATATATATATATATATATATATATATATATATATATATATATATATATATATATATATATATATATATATATAATATATATATATTATATATTAATATATACACAGACACACACATACATACACACCACACACATACACGACACACACACACACACACACACACTACTGTACGACTACACACACACACAGACACTATCACACACCACACTGATACATCACACACACACGACACACACCACGATCTCATCCCAGCGATCTACAGTCAAGCGTTATATAAGCTATATATGATATATATATAATATATATTATCCTATACGCTTATATATATAGTATGTTGATATATGTATAATATATATATATGACTATCTATATATGCTACTACTATACATAATATTACCTTTATTATATATAATATTACTATATATAAATATATACAATATATCATTATATATGTAATCATAATAAACACTCATTATATATAATAAAATATCATTTTATTGCTACTAATTGTATAACCATCCTATATATATAATCATTATAATTCAATTATAGTAATAGACAGGCAGTGGGCATATACTAGGTACATATACTATATACTGTACTATAGTAGCTATATGGTAGTATAGTATATGCATTACATATTACAATACGGTTATATATATATACGATAAATATCTTAGTAATACATTCGGTATATAATATTTTTATCAGTGAACTAATATATGTGAGATGTGATGTGTTTTCATATATTAATGTGTGCTGTGTGTGTCGTGTGATCGTAGCAATTTGCGATTTTGTGTTGATATGTGTGATCTGATAGTTGCATACATCAGCACAATCACAGCATGACCACATATATACGTGTAGTGATGTATGTGTGTGATTATAAATAAATAATGGTTGATGATACAATAATATATATATATATAACTATCTATACAAATAATACATATTAGATATGAATATCATTATCAATGTGCACTAAGTTGACCTAAGGTTATAGAGGTGTAAATGTATGTGGGTGTCTGTATATGCGTTACAATAGACTATTGTATCATATATAGTATACGGTTGTATATATAAGTACATAAATATAATCATAACCATTACCTAATAATATTTATCAGCTACCACTCATATACCTTATTTTTTAATATAAGTATCGGATTTATATATTTATATATATATGTAGTAATATATATTAAATATATAGAAAGAGGTATATATTATGATATGTGAATATATAAATACTGACTATGGGTACTACGTGAGCGATGTTCATTGCTATAATATATCAACGTATATAGCTTATATACGAGCCGGGATATAGTAAGTAGTAGGATTCGTATACTATCATAAAATACTAATATACTATACATATTATATACCGTAATTTCAGCCTCGATAGATATGGTAATAAATATATATGATGAAATATATCATATATATATAATAACTAATATAGTAAGATAGTGAGTTATATATAAATATATTACTAATAATATATTAATAAAATTCTTTCAATATGCGTAATACCACATATATATTATATATTAATATTAATATATATATATACTAAAAATAATATATATCATTGAATATCGTAATTATATTAATTATTATATAGTAATATTAATAGATTAAATAATATAATATTAATACATAAATAATATAACGCATAAATATAACATATTATATATAGATATAGATAATATATCAATAAATCTAATATATAATTATCAACAATATATAGTATATATACTACTATAAAAATATATATACTATATAAGATATATATATATTAATATTCTATAATATATGTATCTTGATATATATTATGTATATATATGTATTATATATGTCTAATTAAGTATATATATGTTTATATATATTATATTACTATATAATATATACTTATATATGTATCATATATATATATATAATATACTAATATTATTAATTAATTAATATATTATTAATATGATATATAATATATAATATAATTAATAACCTTCATATCTAATCGTCACTTTCTTACTTTACATTACCATTGTGTGAGCCAACTCAGAATGACGTATATAACATATGTTGTGCTGGGTGTACGTTAGTATGATGTATTAAATAATATCATCTTTCTAAGGCTCTCTAATCTCCACTTTCTCATGAGCATAAATCATGACGACCTGAATCCAAAATCATACTCCATATATCGACACATATGTCCTTCGCGTCTCATACTCTCTCATCTAACACTGAACGGACACATATCTCTTTCTCACCTTCTCCTACTGCGCTAACCCATTCTTCCTTCCTCACTCGCAGCATTCACATGTTGCACCTATTTACTTTATACTTGCTAGAATACCTATTTTTTCTCCATTCTGCATTTCCTTCATTTTCAGTTTGTTACCTTTCTTTTCTGTATGCCTTTATAATATCTTTCTTTTTATTATTTTTTTATATTTTCCATTTATTTTGTTATTATCTTATAATATGAGTGTTTGATAATTTATATATATCTTTTTATAATATTGTGTATTATTTGTGAGTGATAGTTATTTCTTTTACTTTGTATATTGCGTCGTGTGTGTTCAGTTTGTTGGTTATATTGTTGTATTTCTGTTTCTTCCTTAATGTGTTTCTCTTTTTCGCTTGTGTCTCTTTGTTTTTGTCTTTCCTCTTTCCTCACATAATTAAGTTCTATCCCCACTCTTCCATTCAACTTCTCCTCTTATTTTCTTCTCCACTTCTTTATTATTCCTCTCGTCCACCTCTTCCCTAGTTCATTCTTCTTTCTCCTTCATTTCGCTCCTGCCTCTTCCTCCTCCTCTATCCTCGACCCTCCTCCACCTCCCTCTTTCTTCTCCTCCTCCTACTCTCCTCCCTCTCCTCTTCTTCTCCTCCTTGTGCTGTGTCCTTTCTTCTTTCGCGTGGACCTCCACTGCTGTCTCCTCGTCCATCGCCACCCCACCTCAACCTCTCGTCTCCCACTTTCCTCCACCATCTCCCCCCTTCCCCTTTCACTCGCTCCTCTCGCCCTCTCACCCCCTCGCCCTTCTATACCCTCTTCCTCCTCCACTTCGAACCCCTCCTTCGGTGTTCTCTCTGTTTCTTTTTCTATCCCGCTCCCTTCTTTCCTGCTGATTCCCTCCACTGCCGCCTTTTTCTTCTTCAGCTCCTTCCCTCTATCCCACCTCCCTCATTCTTCTACCTTACCCCTCCTTTCGCTTCTTCATCCCCGCTCCCCTCCCGTCCTCTCTCTCCTCTTTTCCGTCCCCCCTCCTTACTACTCATCCTCCTCATTCCTCCTTCTAACTGACATAATACTACTACATAATTCAATACAGCCGTTTATAACCTATCAATCATTATATTTACAAGAGAGTAACAAGTTCTATATTCTCAATTTAGATCTCGCATATTATAATCTCTATCTCTCGTGTCTTCTAATTCGATCTGTGGCGTGCTATAGTGTCTCTTCCTACCAACAATTGGCTTGAATTCGTTATTATTACTATGTCATTCCTTACCCCAACCCCTCCATTCACATACCTTACCCACTGACCCAACCCCTCAAACAGTTTTCTACTCCCCATTGTCTGGACTTCTATCTCGCCCTCTCCACTCAGTACCTTTACCTCCCTCCCCACCTTCTCTCAACAATTCCGTGTACCTTCCCTTCCCGTTCTCCTTCCCCATTTCCTCCCCTTTTACCTCCCTCCCCACCCAATACCCGCTTTCCCTCCCCATCTTCTTCCACACCTTATGCCCCTCACCCCATTCCCGGCTTCGCTAGCCTCAGGGCATGCCTTATCTCCCTACCCCACTCTTCAGCTCCCTCCCCATATGACATCCCTCATATTTTCACACTCTCACCCACTCTCCAACCCTCCACCTCCCTTCCCCTCCCCATATGGGACATTTCCTTTACATTCTACCTTCACCTCCCCTTACTTAATATCCACTTACGACCCCCTCAACCCTCCACCCTCCTCTCTCCCCATCCCTCATAATTTTCCCTTCCATTCCACCAACTCTCCAACCTCCCTCCCCACTTATTAACCCATAACCCACTCCTCATCACCTCCCTTCCCTCACCACCTCCATAAAAAACCCTCCACCTCCCCTTTCCCTCCCCAAACTCCACATCCCTCCACCTCCCTTTTCCCTCACCCCAATCCCCCTCCCCCACCTCCACCCCACCCCACTCCCTCCACCTCCCTTCCCTCCCCACCTCCAAACCCTCCACCTCCCTCCCAACCCCCCCAACCCCCCAAGCCCCTTACATGCACGCTTTGTTTAGCGTTCGTCTCGTCTCTTTAAACTTGCTTGTCACTATCAATTCTTCTCTGGCTCTTGTTTCGTTTGGTTTGGTTTTGCTTTCTTCTTTTGTTTAAAGATCTGGACTTCTTATTTGTTCTTTGTTTTTGTTTTATATGTCTCTAGTCATTCGGTTTTCTCCCTTTATTTATGTTTGTTCTTTCTTTTTTTCTTCTTCTTCTTTGTAAACAGAAGTAGTAGTGATGCTCATGCTAATTAATATCGTCATTATAGTTCCATCGTCATCATTATTATCATTATCGTTGTAATTGCTACCGTCATCATTATCGTCAATATTATTGATATTATTACGAAGTGGAATCAGAAATTATAAGGATAAATCTCCTGCACTTCCTCTTCCTTTCTATCTCTTATCCTTTTCTCCCTCCTTCTCTTTGCTACTCCGTCTTCACTTCTTCTTTCCTCTTTTTTCCCTTCCATCTGTCTATACCTCTTCCTCTTCTTCGCTCTCTCTTTAATATTATCCCTTCTTTTATTTTTCCCTTTGTCTCTTTCTTCTTCCATTTCCATCTTTTTTGCCTTTCTCCTCTTTTTTTCTCTTAACTTTAACTTGCCTTTTCCTTCTTTTCTTCCTTATGTTTTTTCTTTCTTCCCTTTCCTATCTTCGTCTGTTCTCCCCACTTTCTCTTTCTCTTTTCTTTTACTCCTTTTCTTCCCCCTTTTACTTTCCTCTCTCGCTCATCCTTCTCTCCTTAATCCCCCTCCTTTTGTTTTCCTCTCTCCTCTTTGCCTCCTCCTTCCCTCCTCCCCTCCCCTCTCCCCTTTCCTCTTATGTTTCCCTTCTTCTCTCTTCTCCCCTTCTCACATTTTTACCCTAGTTATCTCATAATTCTCAATCCCATCTTCCTCACCGCCCCCGTCCATCTCTTTTATCTCCTTCTTCTCTCCCTCCTTGTCCTTACCTCTTCTATTTGTTTTCCCCTCTTTCTCTCTTTCTTCCTTTTTTCTCCTTCCATATCTCCTCCTTCTCCCCTTCCATCTTTCACTCCTTCCTCCTTCCATCTACCCCTCTTTCTCCATTTCTCTCCTTCTTGTCCCTTCCTTCTTTCCTTGATTCTCTCCTCCTTTTTTATCCACCTTCTCCCCTCCGTCCATACTCCTTTTTCCCTCCATCTCCCTCCTTCCTCCCTCCCTATACCCCTCCTTCTCTTCTTGATTTCCCCCTCATCTTATCCACCTCTTCCCCCCCCTCCTTTTCTCCTCCCTCCCCTCCCATCCCCCGATCATCCCCACCATTCATCCTCCCTCCCCTCTCTTCCCTCCTCCTCTCCTTCCCTCTTCACCTCCCTCCCTCCTCCCTCACCCCCTCTCGCCCCTATCTCCAGCCTCTTCCTCCTCCCCGAATTCTAACTCCCTCTCTCCTATCCTCTCTTCTCCCTCTCTCTCCATCCCTCCCCCCCTCACCCCCTCTCGCCTCATAGAGAACGTTATTCTCCCCCCCTCCTCCCTCTAACTTCCTGCGTCTCTTCCTTCCCCCCCTCCCCCATCACTCCCTCCCCTCCCGTCTCCCTCTCTCCCCTCCTTCCCCCCTCCTCCCTCTCTCACCCCCCTCGCCCTCATAGAGAACGTCATTCTCCCCCTCCTCTTTCTAACTCCCTGCGTCTCTTCCTCTCTCCCCCTTCCTCCCTTCCTCCCCTCCTCCCTCCCTCACTCCCTCTCGCCCCAGAGAAACGTCATTTCCCGTCTAACTCCTGCGTTTCTCCTCTTCCCCTCTCTCCCCTCCCTTTCCCTCCCTCACCCCCTCCCCTCATAGAGACTTCACTCCTCTAACTCCCTCCGTCTCTTCCTCCCTCCCCTCCTCCGCTCCCTCACCCTCTCTCGCCCTCATAGAGAACGTCAGCCACCTCCCTCCACACTCCAAACCAACTCCTCCCTCCCTCCCCTGCTCCCTCTCCTCCCTTCCCTCACCCCCTCTCGCCCTCACAGAGAACGTCATTCTCCTCCCCCTCCAACTTCTAACTCCCCGCGTCTCTCCCTCTCTCCCCTCACTCCCTCCCTCCCTCTCATCCCTCCCCTCCCTCACCCCCTCTCGCCCTCATAGAGAACGTCATTCTCCTCCTCCTTCTAACTCCCTGCGTTTCTCCCTCTCTCTCCTCCCTCCCTCCTTCCCCTCCTCCCCTCCCTCCCTCCCTCCCCTTCCTCACCCCCTCTCGCCCTCACAGACAACGTCTTTCTCCTCCTCCAACTTCTAACTCCCCCGTCTCTCCCCTCCCTCCCTCCCCTCCCCCTCCTCCCTCCCTCCCTTCCCTCCCTCAACCCCTCTCGCCCTCACAGACAACTTCATTCTCCCCCTACAACTTCTAACTCCCTCTCTCCCTCTCTCCCAATCAAGGCTGGACAAGCTGGCCAACAAGACGTGCGCCGCAGGATCTCAGGACCGCAGGAGCGCCAACGCCCACCAGGGGGTCCGCGGAGACACGCCCGCACGCCCGCGCCCTCACCGTACCCACGTCGAGGAGGACGCCGAGGGAGTGGCCCAGGATGAGCTGGCTTACTTCCCCGCCGAGGAGGAGGATCAGGTGGGGGAGGGTGGGGTGTGGGTGGGGGTGGGGGTGGAAACTCACATTAAAAACACGACCTCACACACATACATACACATACATATATATGTACACATGCACATGTACATGCACATACGCATACAAACACACATGCACATGTACATACACATACACATACACACACACACACACACAACACACACGCTCACATATGTGTGTGTGTGTACAGTATATATATATATATATATATATATATATATATATATATATATATATATATATATATATATATATATATATATATATATATATATATATACTGTACACATACGTGTAAATATGTGAGTGTATGCTATGCAATTTCATGGAATATTGTTATAAATACTGACATATTTGCTAATTAGTTTTAATTCAGATATCGTTTCAGAAGTGCAAAAACTGGTGAATAATTAGAGATATGAATAAATAATATCTTGCTAATGAAATACCATTGTGTTCCATCCCTCCTTTCTCCCATCATTTCCTATTCTCTCTCTCTTCCCTTCTTTCTCTTTTGTTTCGCTTTTCCTTCGTGCTTTTCCCTTTTCCTTCTCATCCCTTTCTTTTCCCTCTTCCCGTTTCTCTTACGTCAACTACCTGCTCCTTCTCTTCTCTTTCTCTTCCGTTTTCTCTGATCTCTTTTGCTTTCTCTGTTTTCTATTTAATTTCTCTAATCTTTCACTTTTCCTCTCCTTTCTCGTTCTTATTCCCACCATTCCTTTCCCTCTTCTCTTTTTATTTATTTCTTTTCTCTCTCTCTGCCTTTTATTATATTAATTTTCCACTTTCCATTTTTTTCCTTCGTTTCTTCCCTCTCCCTTCTCTCTTGCTTCGCCATCCTTTTCTCTTCCTTCTTTTGTACGCCCCTCTCTCTCTTTTCCTTCCCTTCTTCTTCTCCTCCCCCATTTGCTCCCTCCTTCTTTGCCCCTCTTCCCTCTCTCTACTCTCTTACCTCCCCCTCCCTCCCTCTATCCTTACCTCCCTCCCTCCCTTTTCCCTCCCCTTCCTCCCTCCCTCTCCCCTCCCACCCTCCCTGCCCTCCCCTTCCCCTCCCCTCCTCCTTTTCCCCCCTCTCCCCCCACCCCTTCCCTCCCCACCCCTCCCTCTCCCCTTTCCCCTTCTCCCTTCTCCCCCCTCCCCTCCCCACCAGGTTCCCACAAGCGGTTCCTCGGGCGAGCGCGTGAGGACGTGGCTCATCCGGGAGAGCGGCCGCCCCGTCACCGAAGTGCAGACCCTCAACCTCGGGATGGTCAGTCGTCTGGCTTCCGAGATCGCTAAGCAGATGGCCGAGGGTGACCTAGGTAAGGGGGTAGGGGGGTCGAGGCTCGTTATCCTTGGGGTCCTTTTTTTTTTTTTTTTTTTTTTGCTTTTGTTTTTTTTTCTTTTTTCTTTTTTTTGTTTCTTTCTTTCTTTTTTGTGTGTTTCTGTTTTTTTTTTTTCTTTCTTTCTTTTTTCTTTCTTTTTTTATTTTGCCTTTCTTTGTCTTTTTTTTCTTTCTTTCTGTCTTTTTTCTTTCTTTCTTTTTTTTTTTTTTCTTTTCTTTCTTTCTTTTTTTGTGTGTGTTTGTATGTTGATGTGTTTTTGTTTTTATTCGAAAGAAAAGAAAATGTTACTGTTGGTACTGTTATTTTTGTTTTCTGTTTATATTTGAAGGAAAAGAAAGAAAGTAAAAGAAAAAAAAAATACGGCTCGATTTGGCGAGGTTTTGAATACAAGGTAATTTATCATTCCCCCCCCCCCCCCGCCTTTTTCGTAAATCTGAATAACTGCACAGAAAAGCTCAAAACTTTTTCGTATTTACTCTAGAAATAAATAATAAACCGTAACTGGGAATTGTTACAGTATCGCCGTAATTAGTAGCGTTTCCATATAGAGTGCATCTATTTTTTTAATATTTGGGTTATCCAACTAGGGTGGGGTTTTAATTAAACTCAAAGTACAATTCATCCTTTGCTTGTTTCCAGGAAAAAATCAAATAATGATTAGATATATATTATATATATATATATATATACATTATATACAAATGTTAAAAAGAAAAAAAAAAAAAAAAAAAAAAAAAAAAAAAAAAATAAAATATATATATATATATATATATATATATTATATATATATATATATATATATATATATATATATATATATATATATATATATATATATATATATATATATTTACATAAATGATTTAAATAATATGTTTATTCATATACATAAATTAACAAAAAAATAAATGATTTATAAAATAAATATAAAGGATATATACAAAAATAATATAGTATTCATTGATCAAAAACATGCAAGGATGGGTAAAAAAATAGGATTATTTTAGAACGGGCGGATTAATTATGAGTTAGATTGAATGCTTACTTTCCATTTAACTAAATTATTGTTATATATATATTTTTTTTTTTTGTAATTTCAGGGACTTCACCCATCGCGTTATAATAATGATGTACCGTATCATGAGTCGTTTTATCAGTTATTATATATGTATATATATATATATATATATATTATATATATATAATATATATATATATATATATATATATATATATATATATATATATATATATATATATATTATATATATATATTTAAGAATTTCTCGTTGCCATAATTATCATTCTTAAGTAGATTATTGGGTATTGTTATTACGAACATCATTACTGCTATGATTGCTGTTGTTATCATTACTAATGATATCATAACATACCGGAATCGCCAATATCTGACACATGTTATTACTGTTTTCAAGCTTAGCGTCACTGTAATTCAATAACACTAATTTGTTATTCCTATAAACAATCACCATCACCGTCTCTACCACAGCACAATAACGCAAATAAACTCAACAGATAAACAGAGAAACATAAACACAATCCAAGCCACAGGAATTCAACAAACAAAAGGTCAAATAATCACAGAAACAAATAAATAAAGCATTTGAACATAATCACAATTACGAAAAATTTAGACAAATTACTAAACGATCACAGAAAAAAGTCAATATAACAAACTAACTTTATTTTACCAAATCAAACAAATAAAGCATTAACAATTACTGACACATAGAACTGAAATGATTAAAGAAAAACATAAACAATTATAAACCATAGAAAAGTAAAATAATAATAATAATAATAATAATAATGATAATAAATAACTAAAAATTAAACAAATGAAGCGATAACTAATTATAAAGAAAAATAACGAATAAAAAGATAGATAAACCCTTATCACAGGAATAGAACAAATGAAACGGTAAACAATGACAAAGACAAAGAAAGAGAACAAATAAAGTGACAAACAATTAGAAATGAAAAACAGAACCGTTCTCCTAGAAATACAAAAAACACGACAACAAACAAAGTACAAAAACAAAGAAAAACAATCAATCATAAACAACCAAGAAAGGCAACAACATAAAAACGACGAAAAGTCAAAACAAATAAAAGCATAACAAATAAAACGATAAACAATCTCAACCTCAAAAGGACAAACAAAACAACTCACAATCACAAAGAAATAAAGCAAAGAAAACGACAAACAATCACACACAAAAAAAAAAAAAACAAAACAACAACCAAAATCCCCACAGAAAATAATACAAACAAACCAAAACCAAAACAACGTCACCCATCCCGTTCTCCCTTCCCCCCGCAGACGCCAACCAGCCCCGTGACTGCGCCGCCGTGGCCGCTGCAGGAGAAACGACCAGCGGCGTCTACACGATCTTCCCCGCGTCGTGCACAGCCAGGTTCTCGGTGCAG